TTTATACATTCCGGATAATCCGATTTCACAGCCAGAATAAACAGAACGCGTTTGAAATATACGTTAACATATCATCAGGAACGTTCTAAAGAATAAGTAAACAAAGAAGTTTATTCCAAACGTTCAGAATGAATAAAGAAATGCAGCCTTTGTAATTTCAAAGATATGATGATATTGATTTCAAAAATTATTAAAATAAAATCAATACAATGTACAAATAAAAATATGGGCACCAAATTAAAGAGGAAATTTCTTTAGAATTTAAAATTGGGTCAGAATTTGTGAAATCAGCACAAAAACATGTATGTCTTAATTTTTGACGCGATGTAGAAAAAACGATTCAGGTTGACCTTAACAATTATTCTCCAAACTTAAATTTTTTTTCTGTCAAGTTATTGTTATTGTCAAGTGAAATGTTCGATAACTTTTTAAACAAAAACTTTTAATTCTTTAAGCGATGAACCGATTTTAACGAAACTTTGGGATATTAGAGGGAAGGAATCTTACTTTAGAGAATCGATCTTAAATTTTTGGAAAACTAATTTTTTCATAATTTGTAATGCAATTATTTATAAGCTATACATGTTTTTTGTTCTGCGCCTCATAAAAATCTCAAAAAAATTTAGTTTAACAACAAAACTTCGAGGTATTCAAATCTGCAAAAAAATTCCGAGCCACGTTTACTTTAGCAATTATAATCCAAATAATGTTGATATTGGGCGCAAACTTTTCCCGTAATATAATAAAAATTAAAATTAGCGCATGAATTTGTCGCCAATGAAATTTTTTTATGGAAGCGCTCGTTTTGTATTGCAAAAGCACATTCTTTTGTGATACTCGTTAAATTAGACATCTTACTGGCGGTTTTGCTTTTGCATTTATTAATTGTCTCGTCTTTCAATTGTAGTATAAATAAATATGTCACCTCCTAAATCATGTTGTAATCCATTGCGTAAAGAAAAACATAACAGAGTTTATCTCAAAAGTGACTGAAAAGCGGAACAGTGTTTTTTCAAATTTAATTGGGGAATATTTATGCGAAACATGCAAAATATATGTATATCAAGAAGGGAAGCGATGTTATTCCAATACCAAAACCATCTCAAATATCTTTCGCTGCTCTTGATCGGGAGTCTGGCGAGGAAAACAGTAACGACAGTGACTCCGATTCAGATTTTGAAGGTAAAATTAACTTTTTGCCAGTTATTTAACCCTAGAATACTAACGTTCGCCTGTGAGGCGGTTTCCGCGCGATATTTCAGGAACGCTTTTAATGATCAAAGTAAACGTTCGCGCCAACTCAGTTTAGCACTGTACGAGGTTGTTAGCAGGCGCACATTGTACAGTGGCCTTCCGTGGCTGAGTTCCACGCCCTCTTGACGCCTGACAGGCGAACGTTAGTAGTAAAGGTAATTTTGTTTGCTGTACTTATTTCAGTTTTTAACATGTTTGTTGGCTATTTTCTGTTTTGAACTTTATGCTTTTTTTTTACTTTTCGAAGAACAAGTTCTAAAATGGTTGGAAGAAATATCGTTGAATGGAACCGATAGTGAGAACAATTGGGAAGAAGATTTCAGTAAATGCGCCTTATGCTTGATTTATTCAAATAACTTTACGTAAAGGATCTGAAATTTTAAGAAAAAATAATTGCTTAGTTTTTATTCATAAGGCCCAATTTGATACAAAAAAGTCGATTTCATTTTTAAGTACAGGTCACAATAGAAAAGATAAACAACTAATTCCTTTTAAGTGTGAAAGTAAATAAAGGGTGAACACTCCAAAACTGCGACACTTTGGGAATCTTATAACTTACCCAAAACGAATTCGATATTTTGAAATTCAAATACCATAAGCTGACCACATGGCCTTAGTTGCACGTAGAAGAAATTTCATTTGAATTTGATTCCTAGTTGAGTTAAAAATGGCAACCGAGTTAGAAACGAGACAAACCATTTTGCACGAGTTTATAAATGATCCGGCCTTAAGTACACGTAAAATTGCTCAAAAATTAAAGATTGCACTATTCGACAGTTTTCAGGGTTTTAATCGGTACAAATAAGGCTTGGCAGTTACGAGAAAACCAGGGAGCGGGGGTTAGCATGGTCAAAGTGATAAAAACAGTGCTCGGAAGGTCCTCAGTGCGTTTTCGCGAAATCCGAAGATTTTGTCGCGTTATGTTGCAAAACCCGTACGCAGATCGCAGTTTTTCGTACAAAAGGTAAAGCGGAAAGCTTAATTGAGATGTTCTACAGCTCAAACAGCGCCAGACCGAGGCGCAAAGTAGAATGTTACAGCGAAATCCCGCATTCGGAAGTTGTATGAATTCTAAATTAAAAAATACAACTGCATTGTTACGGACTGCGAAACCTACTGCTATAAAAATTCAAAATATATTGTAGGTCAAGATTTTTATTCTGGTGCAAGTCGTCAAGATGCCCCTGAAAGTTGTAAGCTGAAAATAAAGTCCAAATTTCCAAAAAACCACATGGTTTGGCAAGCTATTTGATCCTGTGGCCGTAAGAGCAGCCCTTTTTCCCACCCGGGACAATGAATGATCAAGTTTACCGGGATGAGTGCCTCAAAAAGCGTCTTCTGTCGTTTATCAACAGATAAGGAGTAGGCCACTGTTCTACGCGGACATGGCAACCTGCCACTATGCCAAGGACACATTGCCGTGGTATAATGCAAATAACATCAATTTTGTACCTCACGACTGCAATCCACCCAATAGCCCAGAGCCACGTCCTATTGGGGAATATTGGTCAATTGTCAAAGAAATCTTGCAGAAAACAGTTGAAACAGTGAAAAATATTGAAGAGTGCAAAACAAAGTAGTTGTGCGCATCGCGTAAAGTCGATGATGCAGTCGTGCAGAACATGATGGCGCGTGTGCGATGAAAATACCGATCACTTGCATATGGAGCAAATAATAACTAATATTTTAACATTTTAATAACATCTAAACTTCCAAGTTATATAATACAAGAAAAAATAATTTCAAAGCCTTCTAGTTTGTTTCTGGTAGTAATTTCTAAGTGTCGCAGTTTTGGTGTGTTCACCTGTTACGAATACCTTTAAGATAATTTATGGATTGTTTGAGTGCGTTCGCTTTTAAATGTTTTTTTTTTTTTTTAATCTATTAAAATGACCCCTTTCAAAAAGATTATAAAATACGTGTTATTTTCAATACGAACTATTTTTATTAATATTAAAAAAAAATATTAAATTATTTTATGTTTTTACTTTAAAAACATATGAAATATGTTTAAGCCCATTTTTTAAACAAATTTAAGGTTTTAGAAAGACGGAATTTGTACTTTTTTTCAAAGTAGCCTCACAGGCGAACGTTAGTATTAAAGGAATAAAAAATAAGGCTAGTATTCTAGGGTTAAGTAAGAATACGTCCACTCATCTTTTTGATCTCGTTTTTTAGGAGAATTCCTTACTTGTGACGAAGGAAAAAATTTAATTGCACCCGACTTTAAAAAAGATGTTGCAACAACAGCAAACGTTAAAGTCGCTTTGTCAAAGGAAGGGGACACGAAAAAAATCCAATTATTAACAACAGTGCCTATAGATTGGAATGCTGCGAAAATTCGTAATTTATTAGGCGTACCCGTTACATGGCTGAAATTGTACCTAAATTGCGAAAAAAAATCAGGATATGTTGCATCTCCTGATAAAAAAATTGGACGAGTTTTAGCGAATTCCGTTGTTGAAAAGGTTCAACTATTTTATGAAATGGATAAAAACAGGCGTTTTATGCCCGGGAAGAAAGACTGTATTTCAATTTGAATCAATGGAAATAAAAATAGTGTTCAAGAAAGGCTGTTGCTCTGTAATTTGAGAGAGCCTCATAAAAAGTTTTTGTGGAAATATCCGGATGTAAGGACAAGTCTCTAAATTCACAAACCTTCGACCAGCTTCTTGCGTAGTTGTTGGGTGTAAAAGTATGTGTTTGCAAAACGCAGCAAAACATGAAATTTAAAATTCATGGATTAACAGGATCGGGTCAAACATATTCGATAAGTGACTTAACCAAACAAATTATCTGTCCCTATCCAAATGACCGTTGCAATTTGTTAGCTTGTGATCAATGTCCCGGAGTTTCATTGCTGTCCAAAAATCTTTCCTCTTGTTTCAAGGCTAAGCGTATTTCTGAAATTCATTTTAAGGAATGGACTTGCACTGACAGGTACAATTTTGAATTATTTGTTTTACTATAATTTAATAATAATTATTTATAGTGATTTGCAGGTGTGGACTGGTTGATAAAGTCGAAAAAACTGACGTGTTCTTGAAAAATTTTGAAAAGGAATTACCGTTATATTTGAAGCATGATTCCATATCTAAGTCTCAGGCCCAGTATTTGTTATATTTGAAAGAAAATTTACAAGATGCAGAGTTTCTAGTTACCCTAGACTTTGTCGAAAACTATAGTTTTAAGATACAGGATGCAGTTCAATCGTATCATTGGTCAAATGATCAGGCTACACTGCATCCTTATGTTATATACATATTACAAAAATGAAATTACCATTGTAAACGAATGTTTTGTCGTGATATCAGAAACGAATATTCAAAACACCGTCGCAGTTCACCTATTCAACACGAAAATTATAAATAATTTAAAACTTATTTTTGGGACCGAAAATGTGAAGAGAATCTTTTTTCTGACGGATGTGCAGCTCAATACAAAAACAAGTTCAATTTTGCACTGTTGACACTGAATGGCATTTTTTTCAACCTCACACGGAAAAGGTGCCTGTGATGGAGTTGGAGGCACCGTGAAAAGATTGGCATATCGTGTAAGCTTACAAAGACTTCTTAGTAACCAAATACCTACACCTTATCAATTGTTTCTGTGGGCAAACCAATATTTCGATAATATTGAGTTCGAATTTGCTTCTAAAATCGAACACGAGAAACAAGAAAGAAAACTTCAAAAACGAGAAACATGAAAGAAACTGCAATAGCTAAGACAATAAAAGGAATGCGTCACTTTAAATTTTCTAAGCCTATTGATTTTAAGAACATTGAATGTAGAGCAAGGCATATTAAACAAGGTAGAAGTGATTTTGACATTTCTCTCTTTTGAACACCGACTATAATGTCAAATGATGAATAACTATTAACCCTTTCCAAGTTGGAATTTTCTACTTTTCATTAAAAATTCAATTGTGTGCTTTGAGATAGTTTTGAATTGTGTACATTTTTTTTTTTGGTTTTCGACCACATGCATTTATAGATACATACATATACAAAAATTAAAAGGAGCAGGAACTACGAGCGTTGCATTGTGTGGAAAGTGGTGTGATACTTTAAGGCGCCTAGTTGCGAAGTTAGAAGACTTGGTTGCCTGATGCACACGGAATTTCAGAACTGAGTAAGAGTAGTTTCTTACAATATTAATTATAATCACGCCAGGACCTAGATTTACACTTATATACATACCAGGGTTGTTGCGAATATTCGCATTCGCATTCGCAACCGCGGAGCTTCTGCATTAATTTTAACATTTGCATTCGCTTTCGCATTCGTAATAATCAATGCGGATCTTTTGCGAATGCGAATATTGAAGGGCTCGAAAATAACTGTTTTTTTTTACCAGCTAAACTTGGCCAAATATTTTTAATTCCCAATTAAAGGTCTTTTCCGGTCTATTTCAGTCACAGAAGAAAGGATTAAAAATGAATTATAAAAACAAAATCGAAAAATGCTGTTGACGTTACAGGTTCTTCAAATTCAGAAACAACCAAAAGAATGAGAAGGAAGAATTCTTTGGAAATCAACACGGTGTTTAAGCAACGATCTTGCCATGATACAAGATTGTGAAGATGGAAGTCAGGAGGATACATCCGACATTTGCCGCCCGATGCAATCCTCAAAAAAGAATTATTGCACCGCAATAAAAAAAAATATAACTGAAAGACCTCTCAACTGGTGCAGCGTCAATCGAAAAGAATTTACAATTTTGTCAAGTTTCAAGATTTTCAATTTTGTCGCCTCGAGCGAGTAGTTATTTAGTGGCGAAGGTTTGATTTACGACCCTTTAAAAACTTTTTATTGAATACTATGTTCCAATTTTTGAATTCAAATACTAAAAAAAAAACATTATTAAAAATTACTAACTAACCTTTCCATTTTTATTTAACTAAATCACCTAATTTACTCACCTAAATTATTTCTTAACAAGTAAAAAAGTCTAAGTTAGGGCGGAGCCGAACATTAAATACCCGGTGCAAGTATTCAATATAGTTTTTTCACCATTCCGATCACTACCGCTACATGGTAAGCAGTCTAAGTCTGTTTCAAACATCTTCGATAGAACGTTCAGTTAGATATAATGAGATAAACTTATATAGATACATATATGTGGGCGGCACCACGCCCATTTTCCAAAATTCCATAATGGTACTTCTTTTCAAGGGATTGTTGTTAGTATCAATTTTGGGTAAAATTAGCTTCCTTAAATTTCGAAATATCAAAGTTTCAAACATTTCTGAAATTTACCGTTATAGAAAAGTGGGCGTAATTTTAGTCTGATTTCAAAACTTTCAACGTTTTGCCTTATGTGGCAACCACAATAATCATACCTAGTTTGGTACACATTGATAGAGAGGTTACCGAGATACACATATGTGGTTATAAGTGGGCGGGGTCACGCCCATTTTCCAACTTTTTATTATAAGCCTATTTTTCTAAAGAATTATTCCAAAAATCAATTTTGAATAAATTAGCTTCAGTATTTACTGATTTATAGAAGCTTTTGTATTTCTCTAAATTACCGTTATATGGGATGTGGGCGTAGTTATTATCCGATTTTCTAAATTTTAGGCCTTTTAGTATGTTTTGTGTATGTGCCAAGTTTGGGAGAAATTTGTGGAGCGGTTCCAAAGATATACACATGTAATCATAAGTGGGCGCAGCTACGCCCATTTTCCAGAAATTTATAATATTCGTATTTTTCGCCTAAAAATGATCGTAAATATTAATTTTGAGTGAATAAGCTTCAGTAGTTACTAAAATATTGCAGTTTTCGCATTTCTTAAAACTACCGTTATATGGGAGGTTGGCGTGGTTATCGTCCGATTTTGCCCATTTTCAATACCGTCCGTCCAACGCCTAAAGGAACCAAGTTTCGTTAAGATATCTCAATTTGTACTCGAGGTATGGTGTGCACAGACGGACGGACGGACAGACAGTCACCGCTTAATCGATGTCTCTTTTCATTCTGATCATTTATGTATATATTTGTCTATATCTATCTCGTTTCGTTTTGCCTGTTACAAACAACCGTTATGTGAACAAATTTATATTACCCTTGTGCACAAGTGCGCTTGGGTATAAAAATACTTGACATCCGCATTCGCTTCCGCATCTGCGGATGTTAGCGTTTAAACATCCGCATCCGCATTCGCGTCCGCGGATGTCTAAAATTCCACATTCGCAACATCCCTGATACATACGTATGTAGAAGAAAACTTTAAATCGTTTTTTATAAGTGGGGAGGTTTTTTAGAAGTAGAATTTAAATAAGAAACTAAACGCGCAAAGACATTGGGCGAATAGAAATAAAAAAATGTTTTAAACAGTTTCATAAAACATTTATTGCATTTAACGACGTGGTTTCCTTTATGAGGTTGTGGCAACGCCGCGACAACACAAAACATGCAACCCTGCTCAATCTAATTTGACAGCGGCAGACTCTTCCTCTTTTTCTTTTCCCTTTTCGGTTTCGGCTTCAAGGAGATGAAACAGGCGTGTGACTTTTTCCAATTATTTGATTTTGTAGTTTTAAGTTAAAGATAAATATCACATTACTTTCACTATATATAACTGGTGTTCCTTCTTGATTGAGCAACAGGTATACCATAAGGTATTCCTTTCTGGCCATATGCATATGTGCTTATAAGATGCGCATGCAGCTAAACTTCTTTGAAGGTAATATTGAAGTAATCCTTAAAATTAGTATACGTACATACATATGTATGTATTTATGTTGATACATTTCCATGGTGATATTATAAGCAGGTGAAGTAATAAAAAAGCTTTCTCGCTTTATTTTCCTGACATGCGGCTATCTTATGCAAATTTCTAAAGGCAAATTTTCAAATGAGATAGGGTCAAATCTTTCATTTCGCTCTTATTACTACACCTGGTATAATTCCACCATGATGAGTTTCAATTGATGCTAATTTGTTGCAAACATAGCACACGCACCTCATAGGGTTAATTTGTTTGTTTACAGTTTTTTAACATTATAACTAGCTACAAGAGAGTTCGATCTAGTTGTCGCTTCTACCTTATTAAATATGCCTTGATGTAGAGAATCTTCTGATTCGGAAACCTTCGTTGTCCATGAAATATTGTAACTATTTTTTTAACTACGGAATTGATATCCGTTGTACAAAATTTTAAATAAAAAACTTACTACGAGTATTCTTTTGAAAAAGGATGCAGTTATTTTGATTTATTTTGTTTTCCAGGGCTTCTACAATACAAAACGAGCACTTCCATTAAAAAAATTTCATTTGACGATAAATTCATGCGCTGATTTTAATTTTTATTATTTTACGCCGTATATCAACATTTGGATTATAATTTGTAAAGTAAACGTGACTCGGATTTTTTTTTTGCAGATTTGAATACCTCCAAGTTTTGTTGTTAAATGACATTTTTGTGAGACTTATGAGGCGCAGAACAGAAAAAAAATATATTGCTTATAAATAATTGTATTAAAAATTATTTTTCCAAAAATTTAATACCGATTCTCTAAAGTAAGATTGATTCCCTCTAATATCCCAGAGTTTCGTTAAAATCGGTTCATCGCTTAAAGAATTAACAGGTTTTTGTTTAAAAAGTTATCGAATTTTTCACTTGACAATAACTTCGGTAAAATAACAGAAAAAAAATCTAAGTTTGGTGAATAATTGTTAATTTCAACCTGACTCGTTTTTTCTACATTGCGTCAAAAAATTAAGACATACATTTTTTGTGCTGATTTCACGAATTTTTTTGACCCAATTCAACATTTTTTTAGAGTCATTATGTCATCCGATTATTTCACAATGTAGCTAGCCAAAACTGTTACAGTTTTCTATGCCGGATTCGATTGTTTCTGATATAATTCTGGCACTGAAATTACACATTTCGATATTGTCTTTGTCCATGTCTGATAATTAACTTGGAAATGGAATTTACTTGGGACCCATGGGCCTCATGACTTTCAGAGAAGTGAGTATTATCCAATTCTAGTATATTTCGACAATATCGTTGTTTCTTCAAAAAAGGGGAAATGTTCGGTTATTTATGCAGCGGTTTTTGGGGTGGGGTGGGGAACGGAGACGGAGGGGGGATTCAATGAAAAGTGGAGTAAAATTAGCATTTTGACAGAGAAAATATAAGTCCAACTCTGGCTACGCTGACACAGTATTTTTTACAAAAAGGTCCATATTTCAAACCGAATTCATTCATAAATTTGTTTCTGAAAATTTGAAATCTTTATTTTAAACTAACGTTTATCTGTTTGACCACACGTGTGTGTTAAATTTTTTTTGCTTTGGGTTAAGCGTTTGGACACAATGGGACGTATGCATAAAACCTAAGCAAATGCTCTTTCTTAAAATTTCAGACCTTGTACTCAATTTGTTCAAATAAATTTAAGTGAAAGATATGAAATTTTAAGAAAAAGCAATTGCTCGGTTTTAATGCATACGGCCCAAATAACCCAATATTATTGTACAAGTAAAATACAAGTAAAATACCTTTTGCTAAGAACAAAATGTTAGTAAAAAACAAAAATAATAACAAAATTTGGAGAATTTTTTATATATTGGGTATGGAAGTACGAAATGCCATAATCTACTTAATTGTCAGGTAGTTAATAGGGCGACGAAAAGTGACTTTTTTGTATCGTGCGCATCACATTCAAATGCCAAAGTTGTAGAGAAAGAAATTCTCTTCATGGTGAACTTTTGTACAAACATGTTTTTCGTGTGACGTGTAGATCACGACCGGGAACGTGCTAAACATAGTGATGTAAGGGAAGCGGCACAAAATTCATTTCCCATCACGTCGACCGGTGCAGTAAGATGGCCAAAACTCTATAGGACGGATTACAATGAGTAAGGTCTTGAAATGATCGCATTGATCCCCCTTGGAAAATAGTGAAGTCTTTTGAAAAATTTAGCATGGCGTCTAAACTAACCATACATTAGGTTTTGCTTTACAACTTTTGTGCCACCGGAGAACCCAACACTAAGAAAGAAGAAGTAACAGCAGGTTCTTAGATCAGATTCTTACTAACATGATACTTATACGTCCGCTGCGCGTGTCCGATCTCAACTTTTCTCATGATAAATGGTAGATCCATATGGATCCTCAATTTGATTTTTTTAAATCTGATTTCCGATTCGTAAACAGAGGCCCTAAGAACCCTTGGTTGTAAAATTTTAAGCGAATCTTATAGATTTTAATTTTTTTTGCTGC